GGTGGTGGGTGTGGGTGGTGGTAGGCGACGATAATGGTGGTGGTAGGGTGACGACAATGTGAGTTGTGGTGGTGGGTATTGACGATGGTGGTGGCGGTGGGCGACAACGGGTGTTTTTGCACAAATGAATAGTGGTGAATGACAGTGATGATGGTGATAACAATTGGTGACAATAATAGTGGGCGATGACGGGTGGTGGTAGGTGTGGTGGGGATTAGTGACAGTACTGGCGATGATGGTGGACAACAATAGGTGGTGGTGAGTTGTGGTAGTGGTGGATGATGGTAGATGCTGACAGTGGACGACGGGTGATAATGGGATGATAGTGGTAGTGGTAATAAATATAAGAATGAAATAACGATGATGGTGGGCGGTGTCAGTGGACGACGGTGATGAATGGTGATGGTAGTGAAAGTGGGGGTGTGGTGAGGGTAGGTCAGTGACGGTGGTGGTAGGGTAGTGTCGTGGTGGCGACAACGATAATGGTGGCAGTGATGGTGGCGGTGGTAGATGTAGTGGTGGGGTGGCGGTGACAATGGTGGTGATGATGGTAGGGTGGCGATGGTGGTGGGTGGTTGGGTGGGGCAGTGGTAGTAGTTTATTTTTGAATTTTGATGCCTTTAATATCAGAATCATGTTTTATTTAAGTTTTGATAATTTTGACACCAGAATAATTTATTTATGTTTAGATTTTATCTCAATAACAATGAAAATCGTGTTTTCTTTCGAATTTAGTATTGTTGATAACATAATGAATTTTTTTTTCAAAGTTATTATCATTTTTCACCATGATATTGTTTTCGTTTAAAATTATTGATGTGTATCATTAACAACGAAATCAGAGTTTCTTTCGTATTTACTGTCATTTTCACCAGAATCAATTGCTTGACGCATATGAATTTCAAGCTTGTCTTTTAAGTAGTGACAAACCTAACATGGACTAGTAGTATAGTGGAAATAGAAATGAGCTATGAATTCAGGCATTTGGAGTTCAAAATTAATAATTTCAGGTTAGGTTTATGAGGGATTATAATTAAGCTTGTCAATCGTGTCGAGTGAAGTGGGTTCGTGTCAAGTCATTTCAAGTTCGTGTGAGAAAGTATTCTATTCATATTTGATTCGTTTATGAATTCATGTGCAATGAATCGTGTCATATTAGGTTCGTATCATGTAGGAATCATATATAACTGGTATATACACGAGTCATATCGTGTATTTTTTTTAATTAATTTTACTCATACCTAGATTAATTTGTTTATTAATCGCATTATGTCGGGTCTACTTGTTTATGAAACGGGTGGTTTAAAAAAGACCAAAACCCTCTAATTTCGTATCAAGTTTGTGTCGCATTAATGGATTATGTCATATTTTCACACCCTAAATTACAGTTTTCCACTACTCGCGTAAACTAACTCACTCTCCTGACCAAAAAAAAAGAAAAAAAAGAAAAAAGAATTAGGGCCAGGGGTAATTTTCTGAGGGCAGATTCCCACCACTCGTGTGCACGACTTGTTTGCTAGGGGTAAATTACTATCAATTTTGAAAGATAAGGATTATACGTGGTGTTATTATATAACATAAAATCAGTTCAGAAAGATACCTGAGATTGCATGAATAATGAAACCAATCTTCTGAGAGAAGTCCAAACACCATGTTGGTCGACATTAAAAGACATGTGGCACAGAGTACCACAAAAAAGCTATAATCAAAAGAAGATAAACCTAAGTTTCATTTCCTTTTTCTTTTGTTCTGGGGAACAAAACCATACTATTTTACAAGCTAATAGAGATGTAAGAGATGGTTCTTGAATCTTGACTACTCCATATTATCCGGGTATCAATTAACAAGCCTTTTCTACACACCAGTCTGTCTGGCATTGGTGTTTTCATATTCAACTGCTGATGTCTCCTCCCTCTTGAATGAATTGAACAAGTTCCAAGCTGCTTTCGGTCAATGAGAAGATGGAACCCTTTTCTTTGTTTTTCTTTTTTAACTAGAGAACCATTCTAATCTCATGTGTTTGTGGGTTAGTGATTGTCACATAATAAACTTGAAATGCATACAATCACGCGTAAATTTAGGATCTAAAAATATTAACCGCTAATGTTTTGTGATTCAAATTATCAGGTTAAAACATGAACGTTGTCCATAGAAGGACTAAGATGACAACTACTAAATACGTTGTCAGATGTAACATGCACTACCCAGAAGAAGAAACATGAGCTTCTATCAATGAATCACTGTTACAAACTATAGTTAATAATTGTTGTACAAGGAAGGAGGACACCAAGTGGGTGTGATTGGATTAGGACTGGCCATAGCCATCTGATGATGTTGGTGAAATAACTAGCTAGAGGTCCTTGAGTTTGAATGACTACCCATAGGAGATTTTCACTTTCAACGGGAAGGAAACTGAACCATTTGAAATTTAAAGGCCAAGTAGGGTGGTATTAGGAACCTTTTCACTAGCACGAAAGAGTAAAAGCCTATACATTGTTAATAAAGTAATTATCAGAGGAGTAAGGACAGAGAGTGAGGAGATGTATTTAGCCATGTGTGGACTTATTAACTTCAAAAATAAAAGAGCAGACCTAATACTAGTGTACCTTCTAATTAGACTTCCTATAGCCCTACACTTGTTTTCATGGGATCGAGATTTGTGCAGAGAACAGCATAATGTTATAAATGTTTTTGGCTGCTTCAAAGTTGTACTACTTGTAACAATTAAGTTTGCAGTTGCTGCGTTTCAACTGAGAAGAACACAACTATTTCGAGTGTTTCTGAATTCTTTTCCATAATAATTGTCAAATTTTTCCTTTTTTTCTACATTTTCAAATAGTATTTTAGAAATTCAGCATTTTTAAAGTGATATCTATTTTTTTTTTTAAAAGTGATATCTAGCTAATTCTAAGTAGACTAAAACCATTTGCCCATACAATAAATCCAAATCATGTACTACAATGTATTAGAAGAGAGTGAGAGAGACAGAGAGAAACCTTACAACGACTCGAAAGCTTTCTCCGTGTCAGGATGTCGACGGGAAAAGACTCGAAGTCAATACTAGAATCTTAATCGTATACTTCAATCACTTCTGATAAATAGGCTAATAAGACAAGAAGACAATAGTTATTTCTATTCTTCATGAGAGAACATCATGAAGGCAAAAGCTGAGTAGGGATGTTAAGTTATCTACCTATTGTTCTCTGAAGGAATATGAATGTATCTGAAAGTTGGACAGGAGGTGGTGGGCCCCTATTCGACAACGGCACTAGACACGACTATACCAACATGATGGTAGCTCTATACCCTCAGAAGGATATGAGAGACAAACAAAACTCGTTGTGTTATCAAAAGGTCATCCCTTATACCATTCCTTCTTAAAGTCAAAAATGACAGGATGGTTGACAACAACAAGGTTATCTCTCACTCTATTCCTGACTAAGGCCAGGAATGATGGGATGGTAAAAATTAACTCATTCCTGAAAGATCATTTCTTACTTCATTCCTTCTTAAAGTCAGGAATGGTGGGATGGTCGACTTCCTGAAAGGTCATCCCTAGGACTATGGAATACTAAGCGTTACTATTATATGTTGTTGTTGATAGCATCGTTGCTTCTTCGGGTGTCTTCACCCTCGTTACCTCTCGTACTCGCCTCTTTCTCATTATCATTGCTTTAGGTGCTACTAGCTTTGCCCATTCAACCGACTAAATCTACTGAATCAACAGAGTCAACTAGATCGAGATCAACATTATATTCCCTCTAACGATCAAATAATTCATAAATCCAATGTACCTCCTCCCTCTTTGTATTGGTCTTAAAAAAAATTGATTTACATTGTTACTCTCTAACCCCTCTTACAAGTAAAAGAGTTTAGAGGATAAACTTACAAATTCAAAAATTAGAGTTAATAAAGTGTATTTTTTGTCCTTCTCCCTCTTCCCACTCAACACTTACGAAAAAAAACTCATTTTTACTTCTTTTTTTTTTTTTTTGGTTTAACGGGTAGGTATGTTTGGTCCAATCGTCTCCCTGATCTAGTCAAATGCAAGCCTTCCACTCCAGGATTAAGGAATTCATGAAAAATAAATCTCTCGCGTCCTCGTCCCAAGAGATTGCAGAGATTCGAACTCAGAACGTCTGAATTTACAGTTCATCTTTGTTATCACTTGAACTACCGTTACGATTACTTTTACTTTGTCTCCTCCCTCAAACTATAATCACATAGATTAAGTCATTTTTAAAGAATAAATATTGAATATGATTTTAAATTTTGATTATGTCTTCTTTTATGAAAAGAGTAAATATATATATATATATATATATATATATATATATATATATATATATATATATATATATATATATAAAAGGTAGTACTATACAAAACATTGCCTAATTGTTGCCCAAAATTTTTGTGCCGACACCAGGTAGTGAAACTTTCCATCTTGCTTTGGGCTGCGTTCGACCCCACCTAACCCAATCAAACGCTGGAACGACGCTACATGAATAGGCCCGTATTTCGGAGAAGGACCAGCCGGTTCTATTTTGGGCTGAAAATGGACCAAAAGCTTATCCACTTGGAGTCCTGAATTATTAATTTTGTCATGAAGTACTACTTATCTTTTCATTTCATGATAAACAAATGATTAATATCACATTATGCAGAAGATATCTTTTGATATAATTGTGTTTATAGCATTTGTTTCCCAAATAAATATAGTTGATGAAAATGGAATGGGAACTGGGCGGGTGCAATCAATTTTGTTGAAGAATGGGCTTTGGCGACACTCTCATTCTCACTCTTCTGGCCTAAATGCTTCATTGGCATTTTCCTCTTTCTTCCAATCAATTTCCTATAAATTTCATACTACTTTCTCAATTTATTTTCTTGATTGATGCAGAAGAATAACCTGGAAAAAATAAAGCAAACACCACTTTCCAACAGATCAAAGAATAAATATTACGTTCAAATAATTATGAGTTCTAATCCTCTAGATATATAACCCACCTGGTAAGAGCCCTGCACCGGCCTCTACGTGAGATTCAACTCAAAAACTCGAGTATTTAGAAATAAGCTCCTTTCTATCTTTTTTGTTTGCACTATAAAATTTATAGTGCTCGAGGTATCATGTAACTAAAGTTACCATGTTAGTCCACAATGTTCACCTGCAGTTCATGACCACCGAACACTGGAACCAAGGGTTAACAGGATGGTGGTGTATCCAATAGCACACCTATAGTTTCAAAAGCAAATTCCCCATAGAAATCAAAAGCAACAGTATGGTTTAAGGAGGGCACGATTCAAACCTTTCCTTTTTGGCCCGTTTCATAAGAGACACATCACACTTACTCCATTCATTCACACGTTACAAATAAAAGACCAAAGTCAGAGGACCTTCCTCTCACAAATGGCAGCAAACTAACCCATGGCATACTTCTGAGTCCAGCTCCGTGCAGTTGTCTCGTACTTGCTCTTGTCTGTCTTGTACATGTGAGCAATCTCCGGCACCAGAGGGTCATCAGGATTCGGGTCCGTCAACAGTGAACAGATAGAGAGCAACACCTAGAAATGAACCACACAAAAAATCAAACTAATAACGTGTCTTTTAGTAAGAGATTTACAAATTAAATCAATTCATAAGGACTTGCAGGACAGCTTAAAATTTTCCTCTTGCCTTGGCCTACAAAATGATATGTGGATCCATTTTAGAACTCTAAGACACAACACAAAAAGGCCTTGATCCCTACAGAACTTCAAGCAGAAAATACTAAATATTTGGTACAATTAAGTCTCAGATACAAATTCTTTTGCCCACACCCAAAAGAAAAACCTAGTCACTTCACACTGTAACTTTTCTAAAAACTACAATATTAAATCACCCATGGTAGACCCTTTCATATTTAGGAACCACTTGCAAGCAATAACTTCTTATCTAAATCACAAAATGTGGTAGAGAAACAGTTTGCCTAAGACCCAGTAGCGATTCTTCCAAGCATGAGTTTTGTTGGTGGGGCATTCAAATCCAAGCAAGTTCCAACAAATACAGAAATTCAATATGGAAGCAAAAAAATCAAGCTATTTCTTTTCCATTTTCCAAAATGTAACTCCACTTGTAAGAAATATTTTGCGGTAGTCGAAATTCCAAATATAACCATCACCTTAGAAATAGTAAGGGCAGGGCTCCATTGCTCCTTCAAAATATCAAGGCAAATGCTTCCATTGCTGTTAATATTAGGGTGAAAAACCTTCGTCCTGAAAGCAACCTGCAAAAACCATCCAAACTATATCAGAAGACAGAACTTCCAAAAGGAGAACAAAATTCTTACAACACAAGCAAAAGAAACTTTTCGCAGACGAACCAGAAATTGTGCAGATATGAGGCCCACTCAGTTGCAAATATAGATTTCAAAAAGAAATTATTAAGGGTTGCTGTTTTAGTATTGGCCACTGTCAAAGTATCAGGTCTAAAAGACATGAGAATAGGATTTTAAGGGTCAATGTACTTCAAAACAACTTGGGCAGAAGTTGTTTGGTCTCCTTCCCCCTTTAACTATAATGTAAATCCCTATGCATATCCCAATTCTCAATGTGTTTCAGTGGGATTGATATCTTGATACGACCAAAAAAAGGACCATGCCAGAGGTGTAATAGTAAACTATTTGTAACTTTACAAAAATGAGTTTGGGAGGGAACATTGGTTGCTATCCTTGCATCTTTCTTTGTTGTAATGATAGAACTTCCATTTGCTCTCCTTGGCCCGGGTACCAGTATCAAGCTTTATTTTGATGCTCCTTTTGTGCCTATGATGAGTAATATAAGAGTGACAGTGGTGGTAACATCTCAGTTTGGGAACCTAGTTGATGGCAGTACTTTTTATGAAATCACCAACCTAGCTAGATAAGAGGCCAATTCTTAGCCTCAGGTTTATCAGAACCAATACAACCCAGGTTTCAAACACCAAAAGAACACAAAGGACATGACTTGCTGATCGCATCATTAGACTTCTAATTGACTTGCTGATCACAACCCAGGTTCTAGTTCAGGTAAAATCCATTCATTTTCTAACAAAAATATAGACATATCAAAGAACAAAGATCACTTATCAAAAAACTATGACAAGCACCCAAACAAATGATTTATCAACAGATACTTATCAATACCACCTTGCAAGAGCAACAGAATTAGAAACAACAAAACAAAAGAGAAAAACACATGAAGTTGAAATGTGAATCTACTGCCTAACATATGGTAATGTGGATATTTTATCTCATAATTCTAACACAAATTAAATACACATGCCAATCTTGCTAGGAGGTACATGTACATACACTCTTTCAGCTGATTCTAATTTGTTTGTGTCAAAATTTCAAAAAGAAATACACAAATACGGTAGTTAAATTAAGAGGACTCCTCATTCCTTAGAGTTTGGTTGACATTGGTCTGGCAGGCATAAAAGCCAACCAAATGGGGAATGGGCTTCACACACTAGCTTTGATTCCATAAATAAAATGATGTCAAAAACAGCACCTTAATCAGAGTACAACTAATACAACCAAAAGGAGAAGTTACCACATTTTATAAAAGCAATTGCAATTGATTGAGTACCTTAGGCGGTTTAAATGGATAGTCTGGAGGGAAATGAATAGTAACAAGAAACACTCCACCCGCATAAGGACTGTCAGGGGGACCCATAATTGTTGCTTGCCAGTGAAACATGTCCTCAGCAACTGGTCCTATAGTTTGCATTCGAGAGCACAGACTAATCAAAGGAGTAATTGTTATATAAAATAGTAAGCTACAATAGTGGTGTCAAGCATGTGAAGCACCTAAATGTGTCAACAGATGCTCATTTCAAAGTTTTTTGTCGTATGCATATAAATGTTATGTTGCACAAACAACTCAATAGAGGACAGAAAAAATTCCTTTGGAGTCTATAGTGTGACAAGCTATACCTCCCAATCAAATTAAAGGTTAGTTGCCCCTTCATTTAGGAAAGTCAGTCAGCATCCAGCCCTTATTATTTACCATCTGTGACTGAGAGAGAGAGAGCTTCAACATTAACCATAACCTTGAACTCCATGGTTCAACCCGAGAGCAGCCAAATTGTGCAAATAATGCCAAATGTTCAGTTTGTACCCACTCTACCCTCCCAAATCCCCATTTATGGGGACTAAAGCGGTTGTTACTTCAATTAATTCTACCAAACCCAAATAATGCTGCATAAAGCTCCATCAAGCAGTAATCTTTCAATCAAGCATCCAACTGTGCCCTCGATGACCCAACAAAGTAACAAAATATTCTCCCCTCACAGATGCCAAGTCTACAACATACAGTAGCAAAACCACATATCGGCTGAGGGAAATGGCCCTCTTTAGATTCTAGTCTTGCTACTTTGCCCATTGAACTTATGTTCCAAAGAAATTATTAAGCTGAACCCTTAGCTATTTGTGCATTCTTTCTTCTTCTCTTATTCCCCCTTTTTTTTCCATCTACGTACTAAATAACAAATAATGCCATTTACATGACATATTCAATTGAAGCTCCATTCACAACTACAACTAACAACTGCGTAGATGTAACATAATTATATGATACCCATGGTGAGTTACCCAGTATACCTATCACAAGAAGTTAGAACTCAATTCTGACCTCATACTTCCGTCAGCAATTATAAGTATGACCATCCCAAAAAAAAATAGTCCATTGCAATATACACATAACTACATGTGTTAATATTATATCCACTAAACCAATCCTTATGTTCCAATCATTTGGGGTCAGCATCATTATTTGGATTCATCATTGTGGATCCGACAAAATTTTACACCAGTTATCGGTTACTTAAAGTAACTCTCCTCATTTATCCCGACTTAGAATAGGCAGCGTTGAATATAACCCTAAATATATATGGATGAAAAATACAACTTTATGCCAAAAAATTCTAGCACAGTAAAATCACAAATGTCTAAAAAATATTCGCTGTACTTTGCAAATCCAGCAAGCAAAAGCTATAATAAATATAGATCAATACTGTCAGACATCGATCGTACCTGCGCTGCAAGAGGTAGGAGGATCTTTCTGAAGATCTTTGAGCTCTTTCAAGATCCGCTTCGAAGCCATCACCAACAAAATCCTAAATCCCAAAAAAAAAAACCCTAGATCAACTCAGCTCAATTAAATCATATACATATATAGAGACTTAGAGAGAGGAAAAGGCAGAGACAGAGTGAGAAGTAGATGAAATGAAGGATGTGTGTGTGTGAGAGACAGAGAGAGAGAGGGCCACTTACCTCTGAAGATCCTCCTCTGGTTATTAGTGTTTCCGAGAGAAGGGAGAAAATTTGAGGGAGACGGGAAATGACCTTATATATACACCGTGAACTCTTTCTGTTTCTGTTGCTTTCAGGCAGTGCCCCTCCATTATCGCTATTGGTCTTATCCACCTATTGGGCCCCACTCCTTTTTTTTAAATAAGAAGATTCTAATTTATCCTTTAAACCCAGACTTATTACCAAATCATTCATTCAAATGAAATAATAAATTCCATTAAACATTAATTCTTTAGGGTGTCAATTTTAACCATATACTTGAAGTTTACATAAACTTGACTTAATACAAAATTTGAAAATAATCTGATAAATTGACACGTACAATAAATAGGTCAAACTAAAATTAAACACAATTAACAAATATTGTAGATAAAAAATAAGTATTTAATGAATAATGTAGATAAAAAATAATTATTTTTAAATAGTATTATACAAGTTGCTATAGAATTAAATAATTTTTAGTGACTCGAGCATAATACGTACCAAAATATCACGATGTGACACTATACGATTGACACTCCTAGTTCATAGTTATTTGGACCTTATGATTTTGCTTAATTATGTGGGATGAAATTCTTGATTAAAAATATTTGATTAAACAAACAATTTTTCATAAATAATTTGATTTAAAGAACATTATCTGAAATTCATTGTTATCATCTCAAACAATTACAAAATTAAAAAGAAAACACTTGAACAACATATTAGTTTTACTTTACTTTTTCGTGAGTGATTTAGTTTTTTTTTAATTCAACGGTCAAAATTGACTAAATCAACTTATGCACATTTCGACTGATGTAAACCCCTTTCCAGTCGGGAGTGATTTGTTTTTGACAATTCGAATTTGGTTCTGAACTTGTTTTTTTCCCTTTTGGGTTTGTTGGTTTAGTCCATCTTACCAATTAGTGTTAGTTCTTTGCGCACTCACACACACACACACACAGATGAAATCCGAGGAAAACTAATTAACCACAAAATAGATAATTATAGGTACCAACAGCCCAGTGAATACACCGCCACATAACATGACCCAAACTCTGCCATTAACAAGATCAGGTTGATCGAACTAAACAGAAACTTCGTCACTGAGGGAGTGAAGGTACTGACAACATTTTAAGACGTGTTAAGATTGATGATACAACACAAAATGCTCAAAAAATAGGATCTCAAAATGGTTTTTCAATGTGAGACTGAGAGTTTCTCCTCAAACATTGGTGGTGGTGGTGGTGGTGGTGGTGGTGTTGAGCTTTCAGATTTGGCTTCAGAAGATGGCTGATTTTCCGAACCAGTGTGTTGGACACTTTCGATCATTTTGACAACGTCCAACATTTTAGGTCTCTGATCTGGCATCCTCACCACACATGACAATGATATCTGCAACATCTCCACCATTTCTTCCTCTATATTTGGATACCTCATTAGCTCCACATCAAAAACTTCTGCAGTCCACTCTTCTCGGACTACAGAATGAACCCACCGGACCAAGTGTATAACCTCATCACCACCCGTGGCATGGACAGGGGACTTACCAGTCAGGAGCTCCAGTAAAAACACACCAAAACTGTAGACATCAGAGGCTTGTGATGCTTTTCGGGTGTCCATCACTTCTGGTGCACGATAACCAGCAGCACGTGCAATAGGTGGAGCCAATGAGCTCATTATTGTGGACAGACCAAGGTCTGATACACACCCATAATGTCGAGAGTTTAGGAAGATGTTTGAGGATTTGATGTTGCCATGAACGAGCCTCCCACCATTCTCTGCATGGACCCGAGCAATGCCTCTTGCAGCACCAATGGCTATCTTCATTCGGGTTTCCCAACCCAAGGGGGTCCTATCTTCTCCTCTTTTACCTGCAAAATTGCATACCAATTAGGGGATATCATGAAGCTCTACTGCCGTCAAACAATTTGGAAATTAGACACAAGAGGCAGCTCAGTGACAACTGAGCAGCTGACCTACCACTGCTAGTTTTGTCCGAGAGACAGAGCACAAATACCTTGTAATTGATGTCCTTGCTACCATATTTTGCAGCAACATTAAGGTTCCAGAATCACTGAACAAGATGAGACATACTAGCCTAAGGATACTCCACCATCCAGCTCACCAGATGATAACACTGAAGTTTATGCCCATTAACACATCAATTCCAAAGTCATCGCTTCATAACTTCACTAAAGATGATTAATTCCCAAGACAAACATTGCATAGGATTACCACCCCCCTAACCAAGGGTATAGAATGATAGCAGGTAAGTCGAGTTTCCCCAGAAAATGACCAAGACAGAAAGTGACTTTTGTTTGTATCCTTCAATCAAAAATTGTTTCTAACAGTTAGGAATGATTGAGAAGGGCACCTTCAGCTGTTTTCCAATAGTTAGGACAAGGATGGAAAAGGCATCAAGTGGAAGGCAAAGTTTATACAATATGATGGAATGTACGAACTTAAGCAAATTCATATTTCACATGCCTAAAAGATTCCCATACCCCATAAATATGCTTGGGTCACATGTTTGAATCATCGATGGACCACTCTTGACACAATATCTCAAATTGTTTGGTTAAGAAAAAAGTCCAGGCCTAAAAGGTTTTGGAAGAAACAACAGAGCCAATAACCCAACCAGTGAGCCTTCGGGAGTACAACTAGAAGATCATGCATCCCTAGTTACCCATCTTATAACCTACCAATTCATACTAACTTCTAAAGTTGTCTTCACATTGCCTCAATGTTATGGTCAGTAAGTGCAATAATCTTTTCCAAGTTTTTTAGGAATCAATTCGGCCAAGAAATATGTCATGATTTCATGAATACGATTGTATTCAAACAATAAATGCGAAATTTGATATAGAGTTAAAAGACAGAAATTAAAGAGACTGAAGAAAAGAAGCATACCATGTAACATTGAAGCAACACTTCCCTGGCTGTAATAATCATATACCATAAGCTTCTCATCTTTCGAATAATAATACGCCCTTAGCTCAATTACATTCTCATGCTTGATACTCCCCACAACCTCCATTTGCTGCTCGAACTCTCTCTTCCCTGCGCTCACCTCCTTCAACCGCTTTACCACAACTGTGGTTGCATCCTCTAATATCGCCTTATAAGACATCCCGAATGTGCCTTTTCCCAACACTTCAGCAGAAGCCCTCAACAAATCCTCCAAATCAAATACATAGTTACAGCCCTCAAAGAAAATCATTCTATTATTCACGTCTTGACTTCTCGAAATTGCTTTTTCTGGTGACATTTCTCCCTTCTCCAATTTCCCTGAAAACCCATCTTCACCTATTCTTCTTAAGCAACAAACAAGCAAAAGAAATCCAAACCCAACGAGCCCAAGAACACTGCCAGCAACTATGATTCCCAGTAATGCTCTCTCACTTAGTTTTCCACCATTCTTAGATTTTGGATTTGGTTGATGAGAGGGTAAAGAAACTGGTGGCCCTGAGCTTGGATAATCGGGTAAAGAAACATTGTTACCAATGAACACTGACTTGGGAAATCTCTGAAGTGATTTGGGCACAATGCCAGTGAGGTGATTGTTTGATAAGTTTAGTTGCAAATTGGGCAGATGGAGATCTGGAATTTCCCCTGAAAGCGAGTTGTTAGCAAGATTTAAGGCTGAAAGCTGGGTCAAATTCGAAATGGAATGAGGAATACTTCCACTAAATTCATTGTTAGACAAATTAACAATAGTGAGATTTTTCCAAACAGAGAAATTCAATGGCAAAGGACCAGATAAATTGTTGAACTGAAGATACAGAAATGATAAATTGTTGAGGTTGTAGAAATCATAAGGGAAAGGCCCAGTGATACCGTTGGATCTAAGACTCAAGATCTGCAATGCTGAGAGACGACTGAGAGTGTTCTGAGGAATGGGACCGTGAAAGCCTACTCCGGGTAATCGGACGGCTATTACTCGAGAACCATCTTCACTACAAGTCACTCCAGTCCAGTTGTTGCACACTGCAGAGTACGGATTCCAGTTCAAAGAGTGTAAGTGAGGAAGAAAGCTCACAAAATCAAGCAATGCCTGCTTATCATTATCAACAAGAATGGCTGTCCCTGGAAAGAAAAACAAACCCACCAAAATAATCAAGAAAATGAACAAACTCTCCATTTCAACACTCCTTCTGGGTTGAAAAGGCATTATCTATTCAGGTGCTATACACCCCGCATCTATGATTTGGGAGCAATGGAAGAAGCTGAAATTAATGCATTTGAATGTGTATAGAAGGGAGGGAAAAGGAAACAAAGTGAAGAAAGAGAATCAATTTCCAAGATTAATGTCGAAGAAAGTGTATGTGGGAGTGTCTGAAATCTAGCTTAAAAAAATTTGGAGGTCTCAGGGTTTGAAATTGGTTTCTGGGTCAAAAGGGTGTTATTTTAAAGAAGATTTCTGGTCAGAAATCGAGCTTTTCTTTTTGTTTCTTGCTCTTTAACTTTTGGGTTGTGTGCCAAAAACCGAAACTTTCTCAGAATTAGAAAACAGAGGAACCTTACTCACTCCTACTATTTCCCAGAGAGCTGAGCTGTGGAGGGAAAGAACAGAAAAAAAAAAGAGATGTGAGTCATTAAAGGTCGAACAACTCGGCTGTTCTTCAACCCACTACTCAAGAGAGTCATTCAGTTCCAGATTTTCAAATGGATGGGTGATTTTGGAACGAAAGACAGTAAACCCATGGAATTACAGTAAAAATTTTTCTTGTAGAAGATAAGCATACAATGCAAATGAGTGCATACAATATAAATGAGTTATCATACCACTTTAATGAGGATTGTGACCGATTATTACATGGCTATTAAATCATCATTTATTTTAATTTCAATATTTCTATCGTGTATTGTGTATCTCAATTAAAAATTGAAGTATCTTCATATATTATGAATGAATTCACTACCTATAAGTTTAAATTTTTAAATGGGTACGCATTATAAACATATTATATTGAACGTTGTATTATCGGACTCCTAAGTCCTCCAATAAATTGTATCAAAATCGATAACTAACCCTCTATGTATTATATTGGTGATAATGGTATCTCTTAAACAAAATGATGGACTCTTATTATTGAAATCATGAAAACGCAATTACAAAAAAAAAATATAAATAAATAAAAAGCAGAGTGAAGGCTTAGATACAAGGATTCTTAGTTGATGTAATAATACAGTAACTTATAAAGAGTAGTTAAAAAATTAAAACTTAAAAGAACAAATTATTATAAAGAGTGATTTAACATGGCGTTTAATAGATTGAACTCGAGAGGGAACTAAAAATTTTTAGTTATTGCATTTGTGTTTTTAGATAGATATGAATTTCAGACATGTTTTATTAAATTTTGGATCACCCAAGTCTGGTGTCCCCCAGCAGCCCTCAAGTGGGGTCTCTTGTAAGTGATTTATGGTCTGCATAAAAGGACAAGAGGCCTAACATGATTTAAACTCAGCATTTCTAAATTTTGATACCATTTTAGAAGGGGTGGCTGGAAAACATCTATGATATGTTTTTTTGGGAAGAGGAGAGAAAGGGTGGGGTGCGGGGGTGAGACTGAGTTGAACCGGGTGAGTGATATATGGCAAATTCATATTGCATAGACAAGGTGGGGCCCTTCACTTATGATATCGATTGCAGTCACTCGGCTACTCGTACCATTTTGATTCTACCCTCCAACTATTAATGGCAGTCCCCCTGATTAAGTTTTTTGTGTCTTCGAGGCTTGTTTATGAGAAATTGTCTGATCTTGTCGTCTCATCTGTGGGATGACGACAACTCATTCAGCCCCCACTCCTATAGTACGTATCCTGTTCTCAAGATTATTAAGAAGTGCAAGAAATTTTCAACTGTAGCTTTGGTTCGGATTATTATAGAGTGTTGGATTAGAGAGAATCTATAAACTTACATTCTTAAATTCGAATTTTGATAATTTATTGTGGTTAAATTATAAAAAATTTATCTCTTATAAATATTCTAATCCTGACGTAAATAATTTATATTTGACTGAATTAAAAAAAGAATTAATCGAGATATACGTAAGCAGATCTAAACACTTTTGACCGTTAAAAAAAAAAATCAAATCGAGTAGTAAATAATATAGGAAAATACTATTTGAACCTTATTTAAGGATTTAATGATGTACAATTATTATATTAGTTGTGAGCTCTATTTAACATTAAAACTCACAACTAATCTAATGATTGTATTGAAATCACGTCATTAAGTTCCTAAAGTAAGATTCTAAAATAAGATCTCTATAGCATTGCTCAATAATATAAGGTCACTTGGTATAAATCAATACCACGTAATAAATGATATTGATGGGACTTTTCTGAAATACCCTATGATGAAGACACGTGTCCTCGGTTTACTAAAACACTGTTGCTAAGATCAAGCACCATCGGCGCACGAATGTCCTCGCCCCCGAGGTACCATCATATAGGATCATGCATTCAGTATATTTTACATCCGACACGTGGCTTCTGTCTGATATGGTACCTCGGTCGGCATATATCCCTCGGTACCGAGATAGCCTTTCCTCGGTGCCGAGAGGTACCCGTCCTGGACGCTTCCTCTACTCCAGGATAAGCTATTGACGTGCAAGTCATTAGCCTAGGCTAGTCTAGGCTATTCATCATGACCTCGTCTTACACAATTAGTGTCAGAATGTACTGGAATGCAGGGCTCACAGCCAATAAGGGATGGACGCGTGGCATATGATATCACATCGAAGACAGAGAAACCGCATGTCGTTGCTGACACGCGACTTGGGAAAGCAAACTATTAATTACACTCATTCCTTTGATGAGACCGCATTTAATGCGGTAAGGCTCGAAAATGAAAGGCAATAAATGCTCCTAATACAGAGCATTTATTGCATCCTCCCCGAGAGGAGTACATTGTACCGTCGGCATCCCGATGGCACAGCATTGATTGCTCGGGACCCCGAGCAGTTAAGAAGAGAAGACATTCCTCATCAGAATCAGTGCACACACTGCCTGTACCTAATGATCATCTACTGACCACACTGACAGCAATCATGAGTTTTTAAGGTATAAATACTCCTTGTAAAAGGCAAGACGGGTATGCAACAACAAACTCTTTACTACAATACATTCTCAGTGTTTTCTCCTTCCTCTCTCTTTCTCAAAGACTGACTAGATCGTCAGAGGGGATACGCCGGAAAACACTCCGGCGCCCTTCTAACTTGTTCTTCTTTGTTCTAGGAACCTCTTTCAGCCTTACTGGATCGTTCTTCCGTTCCCAGGATCTCCCATTGCCGTTCCAGGTTACCACCGTTCCTTGCAGGCTGTTCTAAGCAGCGTGTTTGGTCATTCAACCAGCTCACTCGAGTTCACCAAGGGAGAGATCTGTTCTCGTTTTTTATATTATGCAGGATCTTGTACGCACATATATCAACTGGTACATGATTGATATTAATGTCTAAAATGACAATAGTGACCATGGTAGATCAATCCTTCATGCATTAATGTATGTAGGGTATTTTTATATTTTTAAAATTACCGACATATATTACTCTTCTACCTAATAAATATGGGATTGATATTAAGAAAATGGATACTTATTATATCTAAACTTTGATCAAAACAGTTTATAGTTAGGATAGGATAACGTGTTGGACTAATTATTACCATCAACAGATATTAGAATCGATTTTTCAATTTTATGTCATTTTGTATTCGAACTAAACACGTCCAACAAATATTATTAATCGTTGTATTTAAAATTAAATTTTTGAGAGTTTAATTAAAAATTAAAAAAAATCATTTTTTTCCACTACATATATCCTATGGTCATAATGACCGTCGTTAAATTTGAAAGAATAATCGATATAAGTTTAAACACACTGTGTAATTAAAAAAATAAAGATATATCCTATCGAATTATCCGCAACAATTTTGGATTAACCGGGTGTGGCTGCCTATTTACGTGGACCAGATGATGCCTTTATATTTCTCTTGTTCTATTACAATAACTATGGATGGAGTTTGGCATAAGGCTAACCGTTATAGCTGGCATTGGATTTGTGGTCGCACACTGGGGACAACACTTTAAATGGGCAATAAAATTAGAGTAATGCTACTTGTGTGGGCATGGGTTTGCAACGCAAAAGGCACATTTAGTAGGTACAGTGATCCACTCATTTATATGGTCCAGGACTTCTGTATCATCAATCGACGTGAGACTTATTTGACACCTCAATAATCTCTCTTTTAAATGAGATTTATAATAAATAATTATCAATGTTCTCTCATCCGATACAACGAACTTGAGTTTATACAGTGGCTTAAACCATGACTCTAATACCAGTTGTTGGATATGTCTTTCCAACCCAAACACACTTAGTGGGTAGAGTGACCCTCTCACTTTTATGGTTGTTGCTCCAAAATTTATTACGATCGAAAAAAATACCTTAATTGACAGACAGTTCTTAGGCGATTGCTTGTGGATGGATTCTACTGCCTTATTTCATGACTTTCTTGAATGAAATTCTACAACAAAACACACAAAATACTAAACTAACAAAGAAATATGTCTTTATTAATTCAATTGAGTGGGTTTCGGAGTAACTAACTTAACAGTCTTTAATTACAACACTAATTACTTCCTAAAAATTAACTCTAGCACTACTCCTAAATGTCATGATCGTGGTGGCTCTTGTGAGGGGTTTGAGTTATTTTCGTCTTTCTCCTTTCCCTCTTTTATAACCAATCTTCTTGATGGTTTCTCCCTTATTGACAATTATTTGGTTTCGTAACTCCTAGACAATTATTTTTTCTTTCAAACCAGAATTGTGATTGATTGTTTCCTGCATTTTCTTCATATCTTGACATGTGACAATCCTTTAATGATTTTAAACTTGCTAACTAACATGCATTGTATGCTGTCATAATTCTGCATTTTATGTCCAAACAATGGCCTAGGACCCCTTCATGATCAACCGATGTTGGAACACCTCAACAACTTGGACGTAGTTTGTTGACTTAAGTTCCTGACCTAATTTTTTGTAATCGTTGAATTAGTATTAGGTTTCAGTATTGAATAGCGTCCCTGTAAATCTATTAGTAAATTAAGTTTCTAAATAACATTACACATAAAATTAACAGTTTAATCACTAAATTACATTGCAACCCTTTTTTCATTTTATATGCTATTAAATAATAGCCCAATCTCTTATAGCACAGGAGAAATGTTCCCATTCAATGTGGTACTCTCCTAATTATTCGACATGCGAGCAAGATCTCCTCAATCTTGTGCTCCTAATTAGACTCAAAATTGCAAAGTTTATTATTCTTATGGTTTACCAGTGGACCTTTGGTCCAATGATACTCCTTGCCTTGTGAAGACTTTGTCTTCTTGAGTTCAAGGGTTTAAGTCCCCTTTCCCCTCCCCTCCCCTCCCAAAAAAAAAAAAAAAATATATATATATATATATATATATATATATATATATATATATATATATATTATTCTTATGGTTCCACGTGATTAACTTAATACAAGCTATGACTTTTTAACATTATCCAACCATTTAAGTTTTTTACAATGAAATTCATTCTAATCTATGCTGTTAAAAGTGCCAGAATTCTATATATCTTACTAATAATGAGCTCACTAGTGCAATTAATTAGTAGGGTGTTATATGGGTCTGAATGCCTCCAAATTTGTGAAATAAAAAAAAAAATACCGTCTCGTCAATGAATTATTTGATTCTTCCTAAATTTTACATTGATGAAAATCTCGTGTACTAAACTATCTTTTTCTTTTTAAAGGGCAATTGTGAGCACCACCTACTTCTGGTGCATGCTTCAACAAACTTACTTAAAATCATCAACAACCCCAAGGAGACAAACAAATTAGTCATAAACCTACTCTCTATGAAGCTACAAGTCCTGCGTTCGAGACCCGTATTATTCCAGCTACCACCAAGGATTTATCCGCCCTTGCTTGTGGGATGAGGGAACTTCATGTGTCCAAGATAATTAGTCGGATGTTTTAATAGTCTATTATCTCCTAGTTAATAATAAAAAAACAAATCAACTATGATTAACAGACTTTTTCACCTACTATCATTTCTACGTGAGTGCCCAAGTCTTCTAGTGCGTTAAATCATTATCACAGTAGTACATGTTGGTTGGTATGTATTCTTTCATTATGATAGAGATTCAAAAGCATACTGTTGAAAGTTGAGGCCCGGGTAGATGAACCTTTTGAAATTATGACAACTTTGTCTCAAACCACCCTCTTTCGAGAGCATCCAATTTTTTTGAGCAATGTAGCATTTGGACCTTTTCATCAACCTTCATGTAACCCCCAACACGTACCCCTTTGGATATAAGGTATAGACCAAAAAAGGAATGGTTTTTTATTTATTTATATCTTTAGGGTGTCTGTTTATTAAAAGGATAAGAATGTGGTGAGAAGGCATGTGCATGAAAACCATTATGTAATTGTCTGCTATTTGTTTATAGCATCAAAATTAATTATTGATCAGATTTGACAATGTTTGGCTGCACTTGTTGAGATTGAGAACTTTATTTGCATCAAAAATGAGCTTGAAGTGACTTACGATCATGGTGTGTTCAAACAAATGCCTTATCTTTTTTGTTTTCTGGTTTAATTGTATTTGTAAAGGGGTGTATTGTGGTGATCTAATTTCCATTTTTCACTGAATTGTGTGTGTTGCTTCCATTAGAAGTAGGTATGCAGTAGATCGGGAAAAAACAAGAATTCGTCCAAATTTATTCTGTTTAGTTTAAGAATAGACTATATATATTTGACGATAGATATATACAGGAATACCTGTGTAAACCCTTGCGGGCATGGACCGAAACTTATCATTCCCTGTACCCACCCAACCCCAGCTCACTAAACCCATTTATTAATATTAGGATTTAGGAGTCCTTAGTCCTAATTCAAGATAATCAAAATGCCAAGAGATGCATAAATATATATATATATATATATATATATATATATATATATATATATATATATCTTTATTATTGTTGTTGTTTTTACTCAATTATGAAAGGATTATACGGGTTATGAAAGTGAACCAGAGGTGGACATACATTTTTTAAGGGGGTACGGGGTGGAGACTACTCCCAACCCCCGCCCCAATCCACTATCATTCCTAATTATAAGTGTAAGCCATTGCCCCTTTATTTTACAATATATTTTAAAGCCGTGTAAATCGAGTCTAATGTAAACAATATTCTACAATGTGGATCCGAGATGCCAAATATTATTGTCCATAAACTTGGGGACAATGAAATATTTGAATACAGAATAGGAGATAGGATGCATGGAGGGGATCATGGTGTGTTCAGCAAAATAGCTATCTATTTTGGAGTCTGGTTTGGTTGTATTCGTAACCTCCAGCATAGATCATCTGTTTAGGTGAGCGATTTGATGCACCAAATGGCCATGGAAGCTAACTTAACAACTCTACATGGACTTATCCATTATGTCAAGCCAAATTTCTGCAGAAAATCTTTCATTTCTGATAGAAATGCATTCCTCCTAGTGTCTAGCATCGATATGCATCTTTTCAAAACCCAAATTTAATGTGATTGTTAGGTGTCATAATTTGCTGCATCTCATGACAATTATTCTGGTGGTTGAATATAGTTCTTTTGTTTTTCGGTGATGGGAAATCGATCCAACTACTTTCCCTGTAGACTCATGGTTGCAGCTCAACACACCATGCAGCAGTATAATTTGTTTCCAGAGATTCTTCCCCAAAGTAATTTCTCTATATGGGTAAACCTCTATGTGTGTGTGTGTTGAGAGAGAGAGAGAGAGAGAGATGACTCTTGAAAAGTTTTACATCTTTAAGCAAGCAATTTCATGACTAATCGTATAAACCATATACAGTTATGGGGCGCTACAAAACAAAGCCCACATATATATAATTCAAAGCTAGACCTATTCAGTGAAACATTAAAACAGAATTTCCAACTTCCACCTATGGAGAAATTATAAAACGGCTCTCTCCACTACTATTACATGAATTTACATGCCACGTTCATTGAAGTTACTAGGTGGTGTCCTCTTATTTGCTTCTGCTGTGAAAATCTTGCTTAAAATGACATTGGACATTGCCACTAGAAGATAAACAACGTCAAGTTATTTCTCTATATTAGTATATAGGCCTCTTCATGTGGGGATCAAGATGTTTGAGTTACTAGATTGAAGGCATAACAGACAGCTCCAGCCGGCCTGTCCACTCCTCCCCTGGCTTCAACACGATCGGTTTCTCTATTGCTGCTCCATCAACACAAAGCATTTGTTTGTACTCTTCATCCCCAAAATCAGCCATGGATTTTGATTTCTTCTCCCATGGATTCCAAACCACTATGTGAAAGCAAGTAAAGATGTGTAAGTGCATCGTAAGTAAGTTCAAGTGTATTAGTAGTTCATTGAGGGATGCCAGTACTGGGACAGTGCCCAGAATGATGGGTAAAATCTTCCTTAAAGACTATATGCTAGAGATGAAATTACTTGACAATGCTGATAAAAAGTGAGAATATAATCTTCGGAAAAGAGAAAAAAAATAATTCTCAAGTAGAAGCTCCCTCAATTCTCTCTAGTTGCTCAGTGTGCTTGTTGTGTTGGACTCAACTTTTCAGATAGTGGGACTACTGGATGGGTCAATTCTGTCTATAAAGCTGCTCATAAATGTTTCATGGTGGATAGTTATAAAGCTTATGTACTTTTTTGAATAGTGATTTCCATTGGTTTAGTGGTATTTGGTGCTAGTAAGAGTACCTAATATCGTCCATCACAAGGACATCTGAAGTATCTTAGTTCATCACTGTGTCTAATATGGCTCAGAAATCATTATAATACAAAATGAAGCTTACCTACATCTGGGAGTCCTTCCTTCTGAATTACAAATGTCCGCTTTTTCTCATGATCAAAAACTGCAATTGCATCTGAAGAACTAAGATAAACTCGATCTACCTACACATTTGGAAAACTCTTGTAAGTGATTGTAACCATGTTTAACAGAAGCACAAATCTAAACAAATCTGATCTCTGCCGATGAGATGAGTATCATCTGCAGACTCTATGAAATTAGGTGGACTAAGAGGTTGCAATGTACATTGTATGATGGAGTTGACAAATGGTGACAGTTGCGCTTTAAAAAAGCAAGTTTTTAAGTGCTTTGCTGAATGGATCAGAGAAAACTAACAGCTAATGGCTCCAATACGATTCAGGGAAAAAGAATTAAATCCCAGCAGACTACATGTAATTAGAAAGTAATTTACCTCAGATTCAAATGTTAAGGCATCTCCTTGCTCTGTAAAACGTTCTCTGTTGCAAAGGTTGTCAAGATAGTCAAGGGTCTCCAACCCCTCTACCCTCACTTCACTGCTAATACAAATGGCGTTCAGTTGAATCTCACATAATAGTGATCATAAACCATAAGACTTCTTTCACCAGAACCACTTAATTAGAATAGGTAGCCAGCACAAAGCAACAATATTAGTTCTACAGTAATGAAAAATTTGATTGTGAATCAGTAAGTGACTTGTAACCGGTTGCTTTCTATATGTTGCAGAGAATGGTCATAGACTTTCTGTGAGTTCACAAAGGCTAAAAGAATCATACTAAAGCTTCAATGAAGTTGAGGTTGAAAATGAAAATATGTACATAAGCATATACGCACCTAAGTTTGACAAACCATTGGACCCAAGCATGACAACGAGTTGGAGATCTCTACTTGCAAACAGAAGTGCTCTGTATACTACTCAAAATTGCAAGACTCCTATGTTGACTGATTCTTTGTCAAATTACTATGCATGTTTAGTAATTTCAGGTAGAACTATTGTTCTTGTATTGGAACTACCAAAGTTTGGCCCTCCTAAAAGAGACCATACGAAACATAACCCGGCATAAAATAAGCTCCATCAGAAGCTGTTCAGAAGAATTAATTCTCAATCAACAGGGGATGAACTGAATCTTACCTGATATCAGAGACAGCAAAGTAGGTGTGATATGCAAAGGAGAAACTAAATGGCTTGCCATTGATATTTCTAATGCGTGATAGCATGTTGAGATGCCCATCCACAGTCAGAGACACCCTAAGACGGAATTCAAAACTGAAAAAATGGTCGAGGAGATTAATTTAGAACATCAAAAAAATCTGTGACTTGAAGTGTGTTAAACATGAAATTTTCAACAGTCCATGCAACAATATAGGCATGACATCAACATTAAGTGGATCACTACCCCATATGTGTTGTTGAAAAGAGTTTTAACTGGGGTATCTTTCCTCAAAATAGGCTGCCAAAAGTTTTGAGTTATCCCTTATAATAACGGAACTATTTTTTGATGATAGAGCTTGAAAAGATCCAGTGTTTCTTGACATTCAGCTCATACCTATGCGGCCAGGCTTTCAGATCTTCTTCTGATGGTTTAAGAAGCAAGTCAATATATGCCTTGCTAGGGGAATAATTAGTTGGCAAAGGCGGAGGATTATCATCAATGAGCCAAATCTTATTCCTGGCAAACCCATGTTGCTCCAGCAATCCACGTTTTCCAAACTTCACATGGATATAATACAAAACTATCAGTCAATGCCAACTATACATACGCTGCTACCCATGAAGACTTAGAATATGTAGAAATCACCAAAGTACCTGCGGAAAACAAATCGGGATGCCTCCTCTCACAGCTGTTGGTGGCTTGAAAATTGCCTATTGTGAAATCAAAACCAAAAGAAAGACAACAAAAATGAAGTTAATTTCTCCATAAAATTAGAAAAAGGAAATTAGCTCTCATACACGCTTCAAATCTTAATTATTCATGTCATGTCATCTATTACCCAATAATGTTGAAGCTTTTAAGATTGTATGCAGTTAAGCTTTCACTTGGTAGGGTTTTGAATCTAAGATTACTTGAAACATTCACTCCTTTCATTTGAAATGATAACCAAAAAACATCAAACTGAGCAGGATATAGAACCAAATTTGAAATGGAAGGCCTACCTTACTACTAGTGAATAATAACTCTTCACCCCGGTCAGTCTTCCATGAAAGAACCTGTCCTCCATGCAAGCTAACCTGGAGGATGGCTAACACAACACTCGTCAGTATATATACAAAGAAGAATTCATGCGAAGACTCCCATGTTATGTGCTTTTAACCAATCTTGTGAACTTAATGTAGCTTGATGTTCTTGTAGAAAATGCATCATACAGAGAATATGCAAAAAGAGAATAAAATATCTAACCCGAGCTGAAGCCCCCCGGGAGTTCTGAAGCACCACCTGATCAATTCCATTCTTATCCTTTCTAACTTCAACCGGTGCTCTCTGATCCCTGTCTGCCGTAGAGTGATTCATTTCAAGAATGCAGAAAACAAAATAAACTGGAAAAGCAAAGCAAACAGAATCCTCTCTCTCTCTCTCTTCCAACCAAAAACTAGACTTTGTGCAGACAAGTCCAAGACCTTGAAGAACACCAATTTAGCAGTAGAAAAAACCCAGCAGTAACCCGAAGCCGTTGAGGCTGAACTTTTTCTTGGCGCCTTTCTTGTGACAAACCTTTTTCTTCTCGTGAGTGCAATCCAAAATCCCAACTACCAAATTTAACGACCCTCAGCCTTTCCCCTCCACTAAAATTGAAAACAAATCGATAGTGTTAAACCCAGAAAAGCAAACAAACTAGAATCCCAAAAACCAACAAAAAATGGTACAAATTAGATCATAAGATCTATAAGTTTCAACTAAAATGTTCAAATAACAGTTTCAATAAAGGGATTCATGAAAGACAGTTATTTGAATGGGTAGATAAACTTGAGACTGGCTGAGAAAGTCAGAAAGAAACCCTTTCGGAGAAGTTGCAGTCTATTGTTTGCTCTGACCTTGTCGTATCTCTGATTTAGTATGTTTTTATTGTTTCTAGTAACTTAAGACTTCTGTTCATGACCCAGCAAATCCTGTGTAGTCTGATATGCGGCCATTATTACCTGAATTAACGACCTATTGAAAAAGCAGAAGGGCACTGCCAAATAAAAAAAGGATAAAATATACTTTTAATCTGTTGAATATATATTCAGTGTCAATTTGATCTCTAATATTTCAATTATGTTTATTTGATTTTTAAGGTTTTTAATTTGTATTTACGTCGTTTAATCTCAAACGTCTATCAAAAAATCATGACGATTTTGATCATGCGATAATCATGTTGTTCCTAATTTTGTGTTTATTTTCTCTCATGTGAATGGCGTGTGATTAGAGGCATTTACGATTTTTTAATAAACGTTTAGAATTGAACATATAGATACAAATTAAGAACCTTAAGAACAAAATAAATACAACTGGAAGATTATGAGCTAAATACACACTACATCAATACTTGGAGACTAAAAATATATTTTACCCAAGAAAGAAAGAAAGAAAGGCTAATTGAACAGTTGGCCCCAAAACTTTTCTTTTAACAAGCAGGGTTTGGTTCATCCGGGTCTGAGGTTTTGCTTCAATAAAAAATTTCAATCCGTTTTTAGCGTAATCAATATTCAAGTTGAGGTGTCGGGTTTTCTGTACTAACCCGATTAACACCCAAAATAGTAAATTCAAATTAACCCTAATTGAAAAAGAATCTGAGTAAAAGTAATTATTTGTATGAATTAGATGAAAATCAATTATTTAATCTCATTTTTTGTTTATACTTGAACCAAGCATGCGCTTAATGTAACGAAAGAAAAGTGTAGTCCTACTTGTGGGTTTTATCGTAATTAAAATATGAAAAATGATAGAATTTTAGTTTTAGCTTTTTTGAGAGGATCAAATGCGTTTTATATATTTCCTGCATGGACGCTCTAAACACAATCCCTCACAAAGCAAAGTTTGACAAGCATACAGTATTAATATCATGCGCGAGGGTTAACGAAGTGTCAAAGGTGGAACTGCGTCCACCGTCAATGGCGGCTCTGGGAGGAATAACTGGATACAAGAACTAACGGACTTTCCCATAGATCTAACTTAGTTTTTTAATTTGAAAAATAGATATATTTTTTAAAATAGTTTTTTAATTTTTTCCTTAAATTATGTTAAGAAAAAAATTATAATTTCTTAACTGTTGGATGAATAAATTTGAGACCGTATGATGGACTTGTAGAAACTGACATGTTTTCTATAACAAGTTAGTCGTAATCTTTGACTGGTCGAGAGGAAAAATATTAAGGAAAAAATGTTAATTTCTTGATCGTTGGATGAATAAATTTGAGACCGTAAGATGTGTTCTAAGATCAATTATAATTATTGACCGGTTGGGAGAAAAAATATTAAAGAAAAAATGATAATTTCTTGACCGTTGGATGAATGAATTTGAGACCGTAGGATGGACTTATAAAAGCCGCCTTGTTTTATATTTTAGATGATCTATGACTAAACATTCTAGTAGTTTATAATCTAATTTGGTGTAAGCTTCTAATGAAATTACTATTCTTCAAATCCCACCTATTAGGCTGCCATGGATCCAGTGCTCAATAAAGTAAAAGGACTCGTAAATTGCGTCAAATATATCCTCATGAATGAAGCAAAAGGACTTGAGCTCAACAGTTATATAATTTTGTTTAAGTTATATTTTGTCAGCTCTTTGTTTTAATCTATGAAGTGTTACCTATTTTTGTCCAGATGGCATTCCTATCATCTCTCAAGCAAATTGTTGTATAGAATTGCTCTCAAGCAAATTGCTCTCAACAACTCAGGCATTCATGAGTGAATTCTTTAAGCTTGTATTAGGAACCCTTTCACTGCCTATCAAGTGAGTACAGAGAGGTGAAGGGAAAGAATCAAAGATGGGGGGTGGTGGCAGCGAATGTAGTTTGTCCGTGACTCTTTAAGAAATTTCATCGAACATATGGTGGCTATGGTTGGTGAGATCATTCAAACAGCTCTGATCAAATAGGATACAGTACCTCAGCACAAAATAAAATCAGCGACACACACAGATGCACCCATAGAAAAACAGAGATGCACGCACACACACTCTCCCACACACAGACGCACGCACACAGAGATCTTGACTCATCAACAAACAAAAGCAAAGAGAGGAGAACAAACCCTAGATCTACATTTTAACACCCAAGATCTGTACTTAGAGGTGAAGAAGGAACCTTTAACGAAGCAAAGGGAAAGAGCTCTGGCAAGAACATATTCTTTACTGACCTATTTTTGTCCTGTGTCCAATTATCGAGAGTAAATAAAATGGGAAAACCACTAATTAAAGAGCAACAAAGAAGAATGAACAAAAAATGCGGAAATTGAGAACTCACTCAAGCCATGGTTGGAGGGGATCATCGCCCTTATATTCATCAATCGATTCAATCAACCGCCAGAAAAATTCAAAAAGGAAAAAAAAAAGAATAATACCCAAAATAAATTAGAGAAAAAACTATACATATGGGTAGGAAATTGCAAAGAAAGTGGGATGATGAGGAAGGCAACTTTCGATTCTCAAGAATAGATTTCTTGAGCTTATTGCCGGTGTAGGATCTGAGGGCGTTGTTGAGGAGACAAACTCCGTCTTTGGATCTAAACTCTGATGAAGGTTCTCCATGGTTATGCTCTTCTTCTTCTCTGCACAGAGAGTGTGTGTGAGAGAGTGTCTGCGTATCAACACCTAAGATCTGTAAAGAGGGAGAAACATGTGTGTTCTGTATGTTTCGCGTTCCCTATTGGATTAAAAGCTTCTCGAATTAATGCAACCATCAACCACAAAGCTAAACCAAAACACAAACCTGCTGGTATTTCCGCAAAAGAGGGAGGGGGGAGGGTGTTTGCGCAGAAGAGGGAGGGGGGAGGGTGTCCAGCTTGGATTTGGGGAAATGACTGAGGGAGAGGGAGGAGGTGAGAGAGAGTGGACATCAGAGTGGGTTTGTGTGTTGGCAGGGAGCCATGGGTTGGATCGGATTGCATTGGTTGGATGGGATGGTTTTACGGGAGAAAATATGAGTAAAATAAAATTAAAATTATGACTATTTTATTATATAAATAATTATATTATTATTTTTATAATTAATTGATAACACCATATAATATTTAATGACATAATTTCTCCGTTATATCCTATATTTATTCCGAATATTTTACAATTGGGTGTCCATTGGAGCCGTGCACATGGCTTTGAAAGAAGCCATGTGGTTTCATTTGCTACCCAGCTTAGGCATGCCAGCAAATGTGCATTGTCACGGTGGTTACTTTTTCTGGTGAATGATTGGGCCCAACAAAACCTCCAACTGTGGGCCTTGCATATCTGGGCTGGTATGCGAAATTCGCTCACAAACTACAGTTAAATGGGCTAATGAGTCATAAGATTGAGTTCCCTTTTTATGTCGGGTTTAGCTCTGGCCCGTGTTTTTTGTAGCGTTAAATTAAGTTATAATTTATTGAAAAGTCTAAATCAATTTATATAATAAAATGTAGTACAATTCAAATATCAAAAAATAAATAAAATAATCTTTGTCATTCGCGATTGAGATCGCTTTATATATTACTTTAAAATTAATCTAATAGTTAATATTAACACCTCAAATTTAATAGAAAAAATAGGTCACTAATTGTGTGTTTGCATAGACTTTTTAAAAGTATTTTTAAAAATAAAAAATAATGTTTGAAACCGTCTCACCACTACCTCTACCACCACCACCCCCACCCCCACCCCCATCGCTCCACCATCATCACAACTACCACCACCATCTCCCACCCCCACCACCATCATTACCGTCGTCGCCACCATCACCACTGCCCCTGTCACCACCTTACTACCACCATCACCACTTACATTGCCCCACTACCACCACCGTCTCACCACCACCACCACTTCCATCGCCCCCACCACCACCGCTACCGCACACTACCATCATCACCATCGCTGTCGCACCTTATTACTACCGCTACTGTCTCACCATCACCCCTACAACCCTCATGACCATCACAACTACCACCACCATCTCCAACCCACTATCGTCACCCCCACCATCGCCAGTGCCCCACCTCCACCCACCCTACCCTCACTGTCCCACCGCCACCACCACCACCATCATCGTCATTCACCACCGATTGTTACTATCGTCATTCATGGCCACCACCTACCACCCCACCACCATCGTTATCTTATTCTTATATTTATTATTATTACCATTATCATCCCACTATCACCGTCACTCATCGTCAGCACCCATCACCACCCATCGTCCCCCCACCATCGCCACCAGCCACTGTCACCTATTCCACCACACCTACTACCACCAATCACCATCAGCTGTCATTGGCCACCTACTATCACCTTTACCCACCACACTTACCACCGTCGCTATTTGCCACCATCCATCACATTATCGCCTAGAAGCGTTCATCGTCGCCCACCACCACCATCATAGCCCACCACCACCGTCATTGTCCCATAACCACCACCGTCGTCCACCACCACCCACACCCATTATCCCCACCATTGCCACCCACGGCTGTCACTACCATCATCATCACTTAAAATCCACTACCACCATCACCATTGCC